TGTGAAGGAGGCATGTTGGCCTTTTGGTAATGAAAGAAAGAGCCAAAGGTTGGTCTGATCAGCCAGTTTGAAACATTTTCTCTCCTTGCAAGTTCTGGAAATATCTTCCAGCTTCTATGACTTGATGGTGTAGTGTAATAATATACAACAAATTAATAGTGAACATTTACTATATGTGTTAATGTCTCTCTTAGGAGTCCTAATGGTGTCCTGGGTTGCATGTTCGGCTGCTTACTGCAAGGTCAGCAGTTAAAATCCATTAGGAGCCCTCAGGGAGAAAGATGAGATAGTCTGAGCCTATAAAGATTGACAGACTCAAAAACCGTAGTGAGCAGTTCTACTCCATTCTGTATGATTGCTTTGAGTCAGAGTAGACTTGATAGCAGTTGTTTTTGTTGTTGTCGGGTGCCATCAAGTCACTTCTGACTCTTAGCAACCCTGACTGTAACAGAAGGAAACACTGCCCAGTCCTGTGCCATCTTTACAATTGTTCTTATATTTGTGCCCATTGTTGCAAACAGTGTCAATCCATCTTGTTGAGCACCTTCCTCTTTTTCAACGATAGCAGTGGGTTTGCTTATTTTTTGTTTGGTATATGATCTGTGCTGATGTTTTAGTTAATCTCAATAGTTCTGCAAGGCAAGTAGAATTATAATCACCTCTTAAGGAGCGATACGTGAGGCTTAAGGAGACCAAATGAATTCAGGTAACACAACTAATAGATAACATCATGAATATAGACTCATGTTTGCCTAACTTCAAAGCTTGGGCTCAGTATTGTGTTCTCACTTGCTGTGTGGACATAGGCAAGTTTTTTAACCACTTTGAAACTGTTTTCCCAACTGTAAAACATTAAAACTACCTTCTAGTGCTGAAGAGTAATTAAAAAGCAAACCAATGGCCATAGGGTCAGTTCTCACTCATCGTGACCCTATAAATGGCTTCCTAAATGCCTTACTGCCTGTGCTCAGTAAATCATACTAATTACTTTTTCTGGGTCATTAATTTCTCAGACAGTAAAAATGTACGTCAGGGGAGCCTAATATGACCGGCACAAATACTCTCTCTGGGGAATTTCCTAGTCCAGATCAGCTGGGAGGAGTTAGATGACTGCTACCTTTTTCCATCCTCCCACCGCCAACTCCCACACATAAAGTTCCTCTCATCTGTTACTTAAAAACCCAGATTTCCTTCTCAAGAGAAATTTTGTAATCCATAATTGCAGATAAAAGCATTAGTACACAGCTATCTCTAGAAATGATTTCTAGACTTAGTACATAGTTAATTGATATTAGATTCTTTTCTAAGTTACTGGGGAGGCCTAGTAAAGATAGTCTTTTTTCTTTTCCTTCTTAAATTGTAGTTTGGGTGCAAGTTAACAGAACAAATTTGTTTTCCAATGAACAATTTTGTGACATTTTGTTTCTTAATATAAGTTGTAAATTCCCTCAATATAATAACACTCTTCTTACCTCTTCCCTGGGTTCCTAGTGTCCTTTTGTCCATCTTTCCCATCCCTTCCTTCCTTCTGAATTTTGTTTGGATCTCTCAGGATTAATTGTACTGAGGAACACAGTCCTCAGGATTGTTACCCTTTGGCTACTAGAGGACCCTCGGGGTTGGGTTGTGGCGGGAGAGGAAGGCAAATAAACGGGAGTTGTATAGCATGTTTGAAAGATCTCTAAGGGCCACAGCCTTGGGGGTATCCCGAGTCTTTATCAGACTACTAAGTCTGGTCTTTTTTATGACTCAAGTTTTATGTATTTTTCTTCTTCTGTTCAGGACATGCCATTGTCCCTGTCAGAATGGTCAGTAGTGATTGTCAAGGCACCACCTCGCTCTTCTGGTTACAGGGTAGTTGAGGCTGTGGTGATGTGGTCCATTACTGCCTTAGATTGATGGTTTCTATGAGTCTTTGATTTTCTTCATTCTTCTTTGTTCTAGATGGGGAAGACCAGTTGCATCTTAAATAGATGATTGTTCCTAGCTTTTAAGACCCAATTCACCACTTAACTGCACTAGGATGTAGAATATTGCCTTTGAGAAATATGTTATGCTAATTTACCCAGGTGAACTCTCCAAGCCTGTCACTCATTCCTTCAAGGTGCTTGGTTATGACAAAGAAGTTTTCATAACTGTGCCATCTGTTTATTCTGCTGTATGCATTGATATGTTTAACAGGATATACAAAATCATATGTAGAAATATCTTCTGCCAAGCCTATATATGCTCATGATTGTAGCCCCATTTGCCTATCCATATCTCTTTAATTTGCACATCTACTTAGGTATCCACTGGTTGATTATTTTTCCATTTACTGATATGGAAGGATTGTTATATAAAGTGTTTAATTTTTCTGCCTGTAACTCTTATGTTCTTCTCATTGTCTTCCTTTCCTTTAGTTATAGTGTACAAATACCCCCCCCTTATGGATATTATCTTTCTCTTCACTCAAATAAATGCCAGAAGATCCTAGTCTCTTAAATTATCCATTAGTTCTACAGAGATAAACAAAAACTGTGCTAGGATGTAGTTCCAACATAAGTAGTCATGTGCACTTAAAACTTAAGTGAGACCACAAATTAATATGTTTAAAAGGCATAACAGCTGCAATGAAGTCTAAGGAAAATTGGCCAATAACACTAAAAAATGCTTCTAAAAATCAAAGGAGAAGCATATGCTTGTGATTGATTTGATTCATATTGAGTGTGACCCAGGGGTCTCCCGAGAGTGCTTCCTTCCTACACAGTGTGAATTTATAAAAACACAGATATCCTTATGGTTGCCATATAATATGCATAAGACATACTGATGACAGAAAATTATTACTACAGACAAATGGAAGCTATTTAGATTTGTAAACGCAGAGGAATAAGTGATTTATGCCAATAAAAGATAACCTTACAGTCTTTCATAGCAGCTCACAATTCACAATAATAGGAATGTTCAATAATGTTACTTTGTTACAAGTCCTGTTGTACTACATATTGAAATTGTTCAGGCTACCATGTGACTGTGAAGTCTGGATATAAAGTTATGAAGGGAAATCTTTTTCATGTCAAAAAACCTAAGAAAGTCTAACTTAGCTCAAAAAACCTGCAGATGGAAAGGAGTGCATATGACAGTTTTAAGTAGGTGAAAGTGGATGGTGATGCGGATTTGGTTCTCTTCTACTTGATTGAGAAAAGGTTAAGCTTTATGGGAGCATATAATAGCCTCATATTTCTTCTGAGGAGCAACTGGTATGTCTGAACTGCTAGTCTTGAGTTTAGTAGTCCAAGGACACAGAGACGAGGAAATGTCCCTTGCCTTGGTGAATCTAGCAATCAGTAGTACTTACTTGATTTTAGAGTCCAAAATACTATACTTTATTATTTTTAAGGAAACAATTTGACCATTGATGTTAATTAGAACCTAACTGAACATGTGATAAGCATGGTATTTGCTATATTGTACTCAGTTATTAGTTGATTTTAAAAAATCTAAATTAATTTTAATAATTGGTCTCTAAAATCTTAAGTATTACAAGAATACTAATTTTTTTTCATTTTTGAATTGCTGTCACCTATCTTCCAGCAACAGCCTGTCACTAGTATTAGACTGTTTCTTTCAATTTGTACTTGTTTCATAATTTTTAGATATCTATGAAAACTTCATTAGCTTTTTTTCCATTGTAGTTTTGTTGTTTACCCTTTTTTATTAAAATATCATTTTACTAAGGTCTCTTACAATTCTTATAACAATCTATACATCAATTGTATCAAGCATATTTGTTGCCATCAATCTTTTCTAGAATTTACAACTTTTTTTTTTTTTTAAAGGAGCCCTAGTGCGGTATGGATTGGGCGTGCTAACCACAGGGGCAGCAATTTTAACAAGCTATCTGATATTCAGGAGAAAGATGAGGCTTTCCGCTTCTGTGAAGATTTACAGCTTTGGAAACCCACAGGGGAAAGCTGTGTAATGTCTTATGGGGGCGATAGGAGTTGAAATTGACATGAAATTTGAAGCAAATCAAGCTAAATTATTTAAATCCATGGACTTCCCCCCCCCCCACACTGATCATGGAAAGAAAGATTGTGAATTAAGGGTGGAAAAGCCTGGAAATATCAGGAAAGTTTAAGAAATGAAGTGTTTACTAGGGAAACTTTCTTTAAAAAATTATTTTTAAGGGGCCAATAAGGAGCTAAAGAAAATAAATACCCAAAACAAGAGTCAGTTTTAGAGGAATTTTTTTTTAAAAACATTTTATTAGGGGCTCATACAACTGTTATTGCAATCCATACACACATCAATTGTGTAAAGCGCATTTGTACATCATTCTCAAAACATTTTCTTTCCACTTAAACCCCCGACATTAGGTCCTTTAGAGGAATTTTACAGGTTCATTTTGTAAAATGTAAAACCAAGATACACTGTGTTAACTCTACACAGCTCCTGGTGCTTAACCACATCGCCATAGTTAAAAAATAAACTGACCTATTACTTCATGGTGCCATTGTTCAGACATCTTCTGATCATTGCTAGAAAATTGGCATATTCTTTTGAAGCAAACCAATAAAATGTTTTCACTTAAAATATTTCTCCTGTACAAAATAGTTCATTGTTGTTAGTAATGGTTGGAGGTTGTTCAGAAATTGTAAATGTATATTTTGAAAAGCACTTTCTATTTTAAAAAATAACTTGAAATAGTATAGTATAAGAATCTTATTGTCTGTTGTTAGTGAATATTTGCATACAGGAGAAATCAGTTATTCTTGTTGTGTAGAGTTCTATCTTGTTAAATGCAGTATGCATTTTACTCATGTATTAAAAAAAAGAAAAGAAATATGCAATATCATCTGAATGTTAAGCAAGTTTTCTTTCTCCCTAAGTCCTTGTAATCCCTTTTCTAATATAATGTTAATAACATTTTGGGGGGTATAGGGAAAGTAAAATTTATCCTTAGTGTTTATTATTTTTTAATGAGTGACACTCCTAACTAAATGTATTTATTACAGCTCAAAGATGGCGGCAAGGCATCACAGGCAAATGTAAGAATAGGTGATGTGGTTCTCAGCATCGATGGAATAAGTGCTCATGGAATGACTCATCTGGAAGCCCAGAACAAGATTAAGGGATGTACAGGTTCTTTGACTATGACTCTGCAAAGGTAAATTACTTTTTTGTTTCACTCAGAAGAGAATATCTCTTAGTAATGTATTTGTGTGAGCTTGATTCATGGTGCTATGAAGCAGTTTCTGCTGCCATTGCTGCACATAAAAGTACAATGAGAATGGTGAAAGCTTTGAATGGTTTCCGCATAAACAGTCATATGTGCCTGTCAATGTACTCATAAAATTGTGTATATGGTTTCAGGGAATGTTAAGATGTTCTAAAGCTTTTCTATGGGACAGCCTACGAGTCCTTACTATAAGGCAAGACTCATGGTCTATATTCTGGATAGTACATTATTTTCATCCTTTCTTATTTATTGTATAGGGCAAAAAATTAAATGTACACAATTGAGGTTTGATTTTCTGAACTGTCGTCTTTTAAACTTATGTTTGTTTCCATGATAAACAGGCAACATTTTTTTATATCAGGCATTTTGAGCATACCAATATATGACCTATATTGAAATAACTTGAAGTGCATGTAAAAGAAAAGTAAATATATTCCTGTGTAGTACCACTATTTCTAGACATAGGGCCAAGAATTCCATTTCAACAGGTTTCTGCTGATTTTTATGAAATATATAACCACATAGTTAGAATGGTGATCGCTCATGGGCTGGGAATTCCACCACTCTCTCATGCTCTGGCTCCTGGTTCTGCTGATGCTGTTCCTCTAGTTTTACAGCTGTCTCCGGGATCATGAAGGTTCAGTGGGCAGAGAATTTGGGTTCCAAAGGAAACACACCACTTCTGGCCATTCATTCTCTCTACTAGTGAGATGGTTATTTTATGCCCAGCAGGTTGGCAACCACAATGAACCCTGTTAACAGTCCTAGCCAAATCACATAATCCAGTCAAGTAGTTTTCCCACTTTTTTTAGCCAGAACCACTAAGAAAAAGAGGGTCATTCGCTGGAGTAACAGAGGGCATTGCTAGAAGAGCCACATTCACTACATTACAAATATATATGTAATTTTATATATATAGTTAGAACCATGGTGGCTGGGGGGAAGGAGAAGAGAAAGAAGTAATGGAGGGTAAGTGATTGATTAAATGTGAGTCTTTAGGCCACTAGGAAGGTCACTTGATTATTTTACCAGCTGGTTATGGAGACTTTTAAGGGAGTCATGGCTTTTGATGAGTATAAAAATTACTTTCTATATTTAAACAAATATGGAATTTCCCTCTAGAACATTTCAATATTCCATGAATTAACTTTATTGAGTCTTTAAGGGAGGAATAAAGTACAACCAATGTATTTGGCTTATTTCTTGGAGCCCATCATGGGTCAAAGGGTATGTGGGAATAGCAATTGCTGCTCTAGGAATTTATAGTTAAAGGATTTGTACAGGGTAAATTATATGTGTTGGTCTAGATGAGTATCAATTTAAATTTAAATCAGTTACCAGAATCTTAGACATTTTGATCTTTTGGAAATTATAGAAGAGCTTCCAAAAATCCAGACATTGAATAAAACAATATGATTTCTTGTGTATCCCCACCCACCCAAAGCCAGAATTGTGTTCTTAAAAGAAACCTTGTTTATTCTTTGAGAAAGGAAAAATTATAAAGTATGGCTAAAGTACAGGCTTTCTTTATGAGAAAAAAAGAATTTGATTCTCATTCTTTTTATATTTAAAGCTATACATACTTGAATGTATGTGATAAGAAAATTAAAATACAGAGAAATAGACACTAAAAATTGTGTTTCATTCTCTCTTTCTCTCCAGAACCCAATGGTTTTAAAACTACTAGTAATGTTAACAATTTTAAAACTTCTTTCCAGGGGAAAATTTTTGAAAATTTCCATTCTGTACCTTACTCTCATACTGTTGTTAGGTGCCATCAAATCATAGCAATTCTCAGAACAAAAGAACAAAACACTGCCCCAGTCCGACACCATCCTCACAATTGTTATGTTTAAGCCCCCTGATGCAGACACTATGTCAGTTCACCTTGTTGAGGGTCTTCCCCTTTTTAGATGATCCTCAACCCTAAGTGTGATCATCCTTTCCAGGGACTTTTCCCTCCTGATACCATGTCCAAAGTACTTGAGACCAAATCTTACCATCTTTGTTACTAAGGAGCATCCTGGCTGTGCTTCTTCCAAGACAAATTTGTTGGTTCTTTGGCATTTGATGATAATTTCAATATTTTCCCCTGAACTCCATAATTCAAGTGCTTGAGAAACTAGGGCTTTGAACCAGTCAATTCCAGCTTGACTCCCTGCTGAGAATTTGCATTTTTACCCCAGTTGTAGGGAATCTGCATTTGAGCAAGAGTGTTACAGATCCGCAGATGAATTTAATAGGCCCCCTGAGTGAGTCTGAGGGGTCCCCCAGGTGATTCTACATTAAGAATCATCTAGAAAAAACAAAAACAAAAAAGAAGAATCATCTGGGGGTTTTGTTAAAATATGGATTCTGATTCAGTGTTTGTGATTTGGAAAAACACGTTCTCAGAAAGGGATCCATCCTGAAGGGACAGAAGCCCTGGTAGAAATGCTGGGTGATTGCTAGTTCTGTCAAGCTTTATTCATCTCTACAAAGACTGTCCAAAAGGAAAATATAAGCAAAAGCTCATTTTTTGTTTTGGATGAAAATCCATAGCAATTTTATTTTATGATTATCCCCCTTTAAATATTATTGTTATATGTCCATGATTTAAAAATATAAATAAAATACCTGCTTAGTATGGCTTTTGGGTAACATTTTTAAATTATTTATATTGAATCTAATTTGGGTTATATTATAAAGAAAATATGTTGCCTTTTGATTCTACTTTATGGAGAAACAAACTTGCTACATTCTGGGTATGTGATGAATATAGAATGGTGAAAGATATTTTTTATTTGCCTTTTAGCCTGGGAAAGATTTCGGAAGTGTATTTTGCCACAGTTAGAAGTGATTATAAGAGTAGTACACCTGGACAGTGAAACATTCTGTTCTCTTAGGGAAATGAGGTGGATAATAGTATATTTTCCATCTCAAATACATTTTTCTATTTTATTCAAATCAAATTGGGTCATTGTTTAAGTTAGGTTATTTGAGTTACTATAAAAGAAATACTTTGATATCTAATAAGTCTGTTAACCAGAGTCACTGGGTGACAAAAACAGCTAGTTGCTCCACCATTAAGTGTGTGTGTTTTGAACCCACCCAGAGACCTGGCCATCTGATAGAAAGATGCCAGGCTTGAAGTCCCCCTGCAGCAGTTCCACTCTGCACACACAGGGTCGCCATGAGTAGAGTTGACTTGGTGGCAGCTAGCAACAATGCCACCCCTGTTAATTATGTTACATTTGAATTATATGGGTAGCCTTTACAATAGCTATTTCTTTAATTATCTGATTAGGAAATAGATAGCCTATTAATAAATGATTGTATAAATAGGAACACATTACTAAACTTCTGGGTCTTAATTTTCTAGACTATAAAAAGAGCTCATGGGTGATTTCCAAGTTCCCTTTTTGCAATAGAAATTCTGGTTCTTGTTCTGGTATTTCAACTGTAGGTGGATAAGTTCCCTGGAGCTTGCTATTAGATCAGACTTATTTGCTTATTCTGGCTGAAAGTAGCAGGAAGTTGGTTTTTCTTCATTGGCATTATCTTGAACTGTGCCAGATTAGCAAGGTGATTTGTACTATGCAACTTTAAGGTGAAAGGTAGGTCAGTTGGGTATTGCAATAGATTGATTCTTAAACAATACTTTACAAATTCAGGAATCATAGAGAAAATACATAGTTTTCATAAGCTTCTTTGTTATTTCTGTTACTAGTGTGGCATATCTGTGTTTCTTGTTCCTCAGACTTTTTTATAGTATAGTTCAAGACCTAGGAGGAATTAATTTTGAAAAAAAAAAACAAGTCAATTTTTGCCTCCCGCATTTTTTCTTACCACTATAAAATTAAAGCTGTGAGAAATCCATTACTATAATAATGAATGATAGATTGAAATAATTTAGTAAAAGCTCAAACTCACTCCTATTGTGTCAATTTTGACTCAGCAACCTTATAGGAAAAGGCAGAACTATCTCTGTGAGTTCTGAGATGGGAACAGGAAGCCTCATCTTTCTCCTGCGGAACAGGAAGTGGTTGCAAACTGCTGACCTTGCAGGTAGCTTAGCGACTCAGTGCATGACCACTGCACTACCAGGCGTCCTGAAATAAATTATTAGGCACTTTGAACGGCAGGTTAACAAAAGTGGTTGTATCAAATGAAATTTTGTTCCTCTTAGGACAAAATAATTTTAGTATATAATCTAGAAAACAGTAAATTTAAAGGTCTAAAGGCTTTAAAGATGCTTTGTAAATTTTATTTGCCTTACCCCTGAAATAAGAGTTTAATATGTAGGAGTTTAGTATTCTGTACGTAGTGGCATGTCAATGTTTCTTTTTTGCTTGTCAGTCTTTCAGTGTATCTTTTAAAACCTGTTTTAAAACCTTTTAGTCAGTATTTTGAAACCGGTTTTAGAATTGAAAAACTTAAATAGATCTGCCTAACTAAAAAAAATAAAGCTGTGAAAAAGAGGTATAAAGAAAATTAATCAAAGTATTTTTATTTTTGAAGTTGCAAATCTGATGCAAATCATGGTTTCACTACTTCCTAAGCTATGTGACCTGAGTGGGATTATATAACTTCAGTGAACCAATGGTAAAGGGAGCATAGTAATGCCAGCTTTCTAGTGCTGTCATAAAGATTATGGTAAGTCACATGTGTGAAAGATATAGGACATAATCCATGGAGGTTTATCTTTCCTCCTACCCTCCTTAATTCATAAGTGTGTGCTAATACGGTTTCAGTTGTAAAGTCACTTCTAGGAGCTCCCATTTATTTTGTTTCTTAGCAACAAAATAGGTGTGCCTGGACTAGGAGAAACTGAGAGAGAAATTTGGTAGGTGGTTATCTGAGAAAGTCTGAAAGATGATGATGCAAGTGTTAGAAGAAAGGATTATTCTGTCAAATGAGTAATTTTGAACATCCAAGTATAAGTAAAG